CAGGATCACTGATGGCCTTGCCTTAAGGAAGGGACCTGCTCCCTCCCCTTGGCAGGAGCTGTGACCATCAGTACCTGGCATCTTGGGGCGATGCCATCTGCCCCATACCTTGGTAACATTCCACTCTGCACCCCAAAACAGCCCAGCCATGCCCACAGGGACAGGCTCATCATGTTACATTGTCTTACTTTACCCATAGACCTAGAAAGACCAAGACACTTCCTCGTCTTCTATTAAGTTTGGACAGATTTCAACCAAAACAGGACAATAAAAAGAAGGAATGACAGAAGCAACTCCCTCACCTCTATACTACTAACACTTGCTTTAAAATGTAAGACTTCAGCAAACATTTTTATTGCTGTCCTTGGGTGGCAGGATTTCAAGGAAAGACACAGCAGCAGAGCTGGTGAGGAGGCAGGACCAGAAAAGCTTTTATTTGCTTCTCCTCCTCAAAGTCACACAAGGAAGAGAGCATTTGTGCCTCACTGCCTGCAAGGGCCCCTGCCCCAGGCACAGCATTCGGTAAACACTCCCCCTGCAATGGATTTGGCCCTCTCCAGGCCTGTGTTTACACAGCCAGCTTATATTAAGAGATGAAAACATTTTTTACTCCTTTGAAGGGAGCTCCCGGAAACAACCCACAACATCTCAGGGAGCCATTAAGCTCTCCACCCACCCAGCCAGCCTTTTTTGCCACAGACACAGTGGTCTATTTACAGCATCTTGTATGAGAGGCTCATGCAAATCCAGCCCCACAGCAGGCTGGGGCCATGCTGCTGCTGAAGGGAGATCTTGGTGCCTCCGCAGCAGGGTGGGAAGGAACCGATCACACTTCTTTGTGCCCTGCTTTTTGGCCTCCCACTTAGGGAGCTTCAGGATCAAGCCTGGTAACAAGGTTCAGGATGATTCCTCGTCTGCAGGTCAGCCAGCAGAGCCCAAGGCAGCTGCCAGTGTGATTCCCAGCACAGCCCTATCTACTGCCAGATACAGCCACCTTCAAAGCAGCAACCAGCCTCCTGAGGTTTGGTGCATGTGCTCCTCCAGCAACAGGGTTTGACCCAGGAGATAGCCTGGAGGCTAAAGCTAACAGCATCATCCAGATTTTGGGCTACTGTCAGAGAAGTTCATCTGCAAATACAGCTGCAACACAGAGCAGGGGCTGTGGCAAGCCCAAGCAAGGGCTTAGCCTCCTGTGCAGGCAGCCCCGTTGTCACACGCCAAGACTTACCACCCCGATGCCTTCAAAAGCAAAGATCGCAGTGCCAAAAAATAGAGGGTAAGTCTTCCAGGCTGCTGCTAGAGGCAGGCCACTGGGATCAGGAATGTCCTGGAAAAGAGCCCATGCAGAGTTCAGACACAGGGAGGATGGGGAGGACCTGGCTTGATCCCATCACTCCCCAGCACAGCCCGACGCCACAGGGAAAGCCCTGCGGAGCAGAGGGTAACCGCTGTGCCCGCAGGAGCAAGCAGCACCCCACAGTGTGCAAACACCCCATCGTTGAGTTCCCTCCACCTGCCAAAACACAGGACAACACAGAAATGACAGAGGGAAGCCATACACACTCACCCTGACAATGTACTGGTAGATCACGATGAGGCTGCCGAGCATGGCCACGTTGGCCAGCATGGAGAAGATGGACAGGACTTTGAGATTCTGGATGAACGTGAGCAGCACCACGAAAGGCAGGAGGGACAGCATGTACAGCCGGGAGTCCATGGTGGGGGTCATGGCCACTGTTCTGTTCAAGCTGCAGTCATTGGTGGTCCCATTTGCTGCAGATATGACCTGGGGAAGCACAGGAAGGCTTAACAAAGCCCACCACACAGGTCTGAGTGCCACGGATCTTGCCAGCCCATCCCAGTGGGTCAGAATACTCCCCCATCGGCCCACTTTCAAACAGAGCTAGTTGATTAAAACCAAAGCAACGCGGGTTGAAGTAGTTCTGAAGCAAATCCCTGTTACCTCACTAGGATCAGGGGTAGGATTAGCCACAGCATCTGAGCTGAGACAGCAAAATCTGCCTGAGCCCAGGCTCGCTCAGCACATGAACTTGGCAGCCGAGTGCACCAAGGGCAGAGGTTAGTTTGTGCTGCCCACGAGGCCAGTTGAGAAGAGAGGAAAGAGGCATTAAGTGCTATTTCCTCAAAGGTCCTTTTACTCTTGCTTCACCACGTTGCACTCTGTCACAAACCCCTTCAGTTCCCTGTTCCCACTCAAGGACATCTGGAAGCTACTGCTGGCCCCAACTTTGTTTTCGTCATAGGAAAACATGCTTTCCTTGGGGTCTGTCATTCCACAGGCACTCCATGCCACGTGCTCACCTCTAGAGAGAGTTTTGCCCCAGGTACCAGGTGGCTGAGCCATCCCTCCCTAGACCAGGGGCACGCTGTGGATCACCAACGCAACCACAACCGAGCTGTCTGGCCACTGCAGCAGAGGGCTGCCTGCAAACTAATGTAACCTGCTCTGGACCATGTCCTGCCCCAGAGGAGAGACTCAAGAGCTTCTGCACAAATCAGCATCGTCCATGGGAGAGGGCAGCACAGAGCCCCAGCCTGCCCCTTCTCTCCACAGCTCACTCCAAACCAAAGCTCTGCCCAGCACAGCAGCAATGATCTCGCCTGAGGTACCACCTGCACCATTGCTCCCATCTCACACACTGTTCCCCACCACAAAAATAAACAAGCAACACTCCCCACCCAAAAAATTCCAAGACTGGAGCCAAGGGGTTTCCCAGCTGTGGGAGCAGCAATGTAGCAGCAACCAGATCACTGCTGCAAGAGCAGAGCGGGAGCACAAAGGGGAACAATGCTGAGCAGTGCCTGCGAGGCACCAAGATGCTGGATTCCTCATTCCCAGCTTCTTATAGCATGGGAGCCAAGCTGTAAGAAAACAGGGTTTCTGTTTATTTCCTCCTGGTCCCTAAAGATGTAATTAAGCTCCAGAGCCATGGGATGAGGAAAGAAACTGGAACACAAACAGGTGCAGGAAAGGGAGAAGAGGGGTTGACAGCAGATCCTGGTATCCATACGTCACCCACCTACACAGAGTATCAATAAAGCAATTAACTGAGGTGGGCAGGACACCACAGGTACAGTCTCCTGTGTCACCTCTCTCCTGTCTTCCCTCATTAGGAACAGCCCCTGCTTCCCCTCAGGACATGGATGGTTCCAGCACCTCCGCACACAAAGCGAAGCCACAGGGCTTCCCAGAAACACCTGCCCTGGTTGAACAGGAAAACCTCTGACCCTCCAAAACACCCGGGCAATACCTTCCTGAGCAGCATCAGATATGGAAACCAGACCTTTGGTGGAGAAAAGGGCCATGACACAGGAGCTAAGAATAACCCAAACACCTCCACAAACCCTCTCGCCTTCCCCTTGCTCATGAAGGAGGGAGTAAGCCTAACCTGCTTCAGATTGTCAGCCAGAAAGACAAAGTACACGCAGCAGAAACCCAGCTGGGTGATGATCAGGAAAAGTCCCACTAAGCGCCTAGAAGAGAAAGAAAAAGACCATTTGTCAGCCAGGCCATGCAGAAATGAGAACCCATTTGGGCTGCTTGGGGCTGACTTGAACACTGTAGTGAAGCTGCTCTCCCCAGAGCACATCCAGCTCACTCCTATTCAATGATCTGGGTTGATGTCCATCTAACCCCACAGACATCAGGATCTCTAGTCTCCCCCTCCCATCCCCTCCAAAGAGTCAGGAGCAGTCTCAGGAGAAAAGTCTCCTCCTTAGGTTTAGCATCTCCAGTCTGCTGCTGAATTGTCATAGCTGGAGACAATGCTCCCCAGACACAGGAGAAGATGAACGTTTCCAGCATCTGATGTGCAATGATCTGTACGATGTGATGTGGGAAACCACAGGGCTGGTGGCACCCCTCGGGGCAGCTATGAGACACCCTCAGCACCAGCAATGCAGTACATGTTATTTACTCTTTTGTTATGCAGCAGAGACTTACTTCTCCCCCTTCTTTAGTGTAAGCCACATCTGGTGGGGACAGGACCGGGTCAAAGACCTCAACATTATCCCCTGCGGGACAACGAGCATCCAGGGTAGGTGTGACATAAAATGTTATGCGGCTCTTGCGCTCGTGTGCTGACACAGCTCAGAGACCAGCAGCTCTTCTGTCCCAGCTGGGCTTAAAGACAAGTTCCCTGCTTGGAGCAGGGGAGCAGGTACCTTCCCCAGATGGCATGTGTCCGCAGCCATGCGCTGGGGGTTGACTCCAGCCCATACATCATGGCACCCCCGTAGTCCACAAACTGCTTCTGGAACCTGTCCAGAGGAGAAAGAGAGAAGGGATGTCACATCGGCCCTGTCTGCTGGTTCCCAAGGCAAACGGTGACAGGAATGAGTAAACAGTTCCAGTGAAAAGCCCAGCAGCAGTTCCCCACAGAGGTTTCAATACAGGGAACTTCCTGGTGGGAGGCTCCATGGGACTTCTTGGGAAGGGAAGACCTGTAGGAGCAGCAGTGCTGAGAAGGGGAGTTGCTCCTTACCTGTAGCAGAAGTGATGGGCGCATTTCACAAGGATGCCCATGCAGTGCACAGCCACGACCCCCATCACCAGCAGGCTCAGAGGACCCAGCTGCAGGGAAAAAGAGGGGGAAGGCTGCACTCTGATGGCCAAAGGCAGAGCTGCACAACATGTTTAACTTGCAGACAAAACTCCACAGGCTCAGTGAGCAAAAACACTGCTGGAGGCTGAACCAGAGCTCAGGTGTTGCTCCCTGAACCAGCCCCCCGGGACCAAGTAACCCAACAGAGAGCCACGAGCTTGGCAGCAATGATGCAAAAGCAGCAAGTTGGGGCAGTCTGGGTGTAGCAAAGCGCTTCCAGGGTTGTTTTTCAAACTATCTTGCACATCCCATTACACGGGTGACAAAGAGGTCACGGTCCAGACTGAGGAAGGAAGTTTCTCTTTTAATTACTTTAATTTTCAGTCTGAGCAACGGGAACGCTGCATTGCTGGGTGAGGAAACCCAGAGCAGAGCAGTGAGGTGCCCCCTCCTCTCACACAGGGGGCAGTTGCTGTGGCATGACACAGACACAGAGGAGCTGAGCATTGGGATGGAAGCCAGAAGGAGATGTGACAGTGGCCAGGGGCTGCTGTTTGACCTCCAAGTGCAACCTCAGCCCTCAAGCAGCGAATCCACTGATCTCAATATAGCCAGAGCTATGAGGCTGGGCCAGCCCACGTGAAACCCCACAGAGGGAAGCACGATGCCATCTCCCATCACCAGCCTTAACCACTGAGCAATGGGGCTCCTCACATGCACGCTGTGCTTGTAGAACCCTCAGGAGGTACCCAGCACGCTCAGCACACACCAGCTGAGACAAACCAAGGCTGAGGCCATGCTGAACCTGCCATGACCAGGGTGAGGAGGTGCCACCCAAACAGTCTCTGCAGCAAACAAGGCAAACCACAGAGCCCAAGGTGCAAAAGCTCACAAGAAACTGAGCACCAAGAGGCATCTCAACAGGGAGCCAAGCCCTAACGCCAGCCATGCAAGCTGCCCAATGCCCTGAGGTCACTGCCTCATGAGCACCCACACAGCAGGGCTGAGTGCTGCCTTACCAGGATGCCGGCATTCTTCACAGCCAGAGGCAGCCCCAGCAGCCCCGTGCCAACATTCCCCTTCAGGAGATGGATCAGGGTCTGGTACCACCTAAAGGAGAGAACCATTGGCAGATGCCCACACTCAGACCTCACACAGTCTCAGCCTCCAGCTCATCCTGCTCAGGGTCCAGCAGCCTGAGATCCAGACACACAGAGATCCAGACCCTGTCCCCTGAGCCCAGTGGGACTGAGGAAGAACTGGAGGCAAAGACTCAAGAAACACATTTTGGGTGGGAATTCGCAAAACCAGCTTCAAGGCAAAACCCAACATGAGCTCAGAGGAAGTCTCTGAGTTGAAGGGATGAGTCTCCCCCAAGCAGAGACAGCATCTTCTGTCCACCTGGGTGAATAAGGCAAAGGGAAGCCCCCAGGGCATGGCTGCAACATACCTACGTATCCCCTGAAGCTGGACATGCTGTTTGCTTGCCACAGCTCCCCACGGAACCAACATGGAGATGGGGAATATCAGGAAAAGCATCAAACTCTGCCCACTGCTGGCAAGCCCAGCTTCACCAGAGAGCAGAGAGTGACACTGGGGCAGCTGCTCACTCGGTGCCAGCACTCCATGGAGGCAGGACCACAGCTCTGCTCTTGACACCCCCAGAAGCGCTCCCCATAAAACCACCATCCTCCAGCAAAGCCAACAAGGAGCCACCATTTCCACCCTCCCCATGTGCTGGGCAGGAGGGGAGCATCACTCACGTTGTCCCGTTGGTCTCCCCGAAGCGCTGGTAGGACTCGGGATGAGCAAACCCATTGATGCCCCCGGGCGGGCTCCCCTCTGGTGTGACATCCGTGGAGCTGTAGTCGTTGTAGTCCTCGCTGCGGAGGCGCCGGGTGGACATGGTCCCTGTGGGGGGAGCAGCGTTAGGGGTGCCCATCTCAACACCCCCCTTCGCAGGCTCCTTGGGGTCAGCCATGGTGCTGAGACCAGCTGGTACTGGAGCAAGGTCTCCTCCAAGGGCTTTTATAGAGCAGCACGCTCCCGCCCAGGCAATCACAGAGCTGGCATGTCCTAAGGTCAAGGCACATTCCCACTGGCTCTTCCTGCAGGCCTGTGCCCCTGTTTTGGGCACACCCAGGAAGGACAGGCACAGGATCCCGCAGTAAGAGCCTGGATGCAACCCGCTTCACGTCAGGTAAGTGTCCCAGTGTCCTCCTGCTCTAAGGGTGGTGAGTGTGACAACACAGCCACAGGCAGCAGGCAGGGAGGGACATGCTGGCAACATCCTCAGCCCTGGGTCTTGGGCAGTCAAGAGGATGGCCAGGAAAGAGCCAGGGAAAGGAAAGTTTCCAAACTTCTCCTTTTTTTTTAATTAAAGAGTATTTATTAAAAAGAATGAAAAATACTTATTATGCTCCATCAGGTGGGAGCAAACCACCCACCCGCAAGGTTTCACAGCCACAGAGGTCCCTACAGAACTAACGGGCTTCCCAGGATGAGGCACCTGCACAACCCAGAGCTCTTGCTCCAGGGAAAACCCTAGCAGAGTCCTACAGGCAAGGAGCACCCACACCAGCCCCACCAAGGACACAAGCCTCCTGCCTTCAGCTGGTTTAATTCCCACACGTGCCCTGAAGAGCTCCTGCTGCTCCTGCACAGCCTCCCAAAGAGAGGCTCTGCTTCCTCCAGCAGCACCCAGCACCCCAAATGCCAATCAGGCTACTGCCACACAGCCTGGAGACTCGATCCCTGCCGCAGGGCTCCTCTGGGGTGGCATGCCTCAGGCATCACCCCCTGCCCCAGCCGTCCCCGTCCCCCTGCACTGGTGGGAACCCAGGCTGGGGCCAAGCAGAAGCAGCAGAGAAATATCATTACCACAAACGGGCTCGTTTCCTGCCAGAGGCTCCTCCAGCACCCGCCAGGTCACGCGAGCGCCCGCAAGACGCTGCTTTATTTCCTGCAGCACCAGGCAACATGGAGCAGACAGCAGGGCTGCTCCATCCTGCGCAACACCAGCGGCGCTGAGCCTGCTCACAGCTGAGGGCAGCACATGCAGCACTCCTGCCTGCCTCCTCCCTGGCAGCCAGGACGCACAGTCATGTCCTGAACCGGCTCTGCCGCGGGCAGGGTGAGACAGGGACTGGGAAGAGCAGCGGTGTTAGTTTATACAAGGAAAGCGTTAGATGCTATTTGTCATCGGTGACGAGCCACAGGAGCAGGGGAGAGACTTGGGAGGCCTTGCCAAGCATTAAGGGCTGGTAGTGGGCAAGGACAGCAGGCAGAGGGGTGCCAGGCTTGGGTCAGGCACGGATACACCTCCCCGGAGATGGCCTGTGCATTATCTGAAGTACTCAACAGCGACGTCCTCCAGATAAAACACAGTCACATCAATCTGCCTGATTGCTCCTTGTGGTTTGTTTTTCTTTTCTCACAAGCAGGCCCAGCTGCTTTTTGCTTTGAAGAGCCAGGGAAATGCGTTCCTCATGACTTGCCTTCTTGTGTCTGGATGAAAGGTTGCATAGCAGCAGGGAGCGAGCACTTGGCTCCCCCGCAGTCAACGAGAAGAAGCTGCAAAACTTGTCTCATCCACACAACAAATGCTTCAAACTGAAGCAAAACCCCACCACATTATTTTCTCGTCATTACAAAGGGCAAAGACAGGAGCAGCCACATTCAGTTTCCACTTTAAAGCCAACTCCTTGGCCACTTCCATGTGCATTTTCCCCTGCTATGCACATGAGCTGTTTCATTCTGGTGAGTGGAGCACTTTGGAAGGCTGGGGCAGGGAGATGACAGCAACTTAGAGGGACAACCCCGCACCACTAGTCAAAAGCAAGATGCAACTTGCTGCTGACGCCAACAGCTCTCCCCCGCTGAGCAGGGGCTGCAACACAAAATCTTCCAGAAACGAGCTGCACGGCAAAACTCCCTGACACCTCCCTTCACATGTGCTGAACCCTTTATTCCTGCTTGTAACGCATCTCAGTGTGACACAAGGGAGCCTGCTTGGCACAAACCTCCTGGTCCCACAGCTCCAGCCCTGCACCCCCGTACAGCAGCACGCCTGCACCCTGCAGAGCACACGGCTCCCTGCACCTCACCCTCTCCGTGGTGCCACACAGCACCTCACATCCATGCAGGATCTAGGCAACCCCACACACTCATGCCAGCTCTGAGCACTCTGAGGCTGCCAGGACCCCAGCGACACCCCTGCAAGCTGCCAGCATCCCTCTGCACCCACACAGGCTCCGAGCATCCACACACACACACAGAGACACGTACACGGACCACCAGCACCCCCAAGCTCCGCTGAGCACCCGTCCAGGCCGCAGCGCACTTCTACACCCCTGAGCACCCGCCCGATGCCAGCACACGCAGGGACCTCCGCACACCCATGCAACGCGCCAGCCCCCCGCAGGCTCCAAGCACCCCGCTACACCCCCTGCAGAGTAC